CAGTGTTACAGTGTTACAGTGTTACAGTGTTACAGTGTTACAGTGTTACATTGTAAATTCCAAAAAGAAATTCGAAAAATTTGCTATTGTGGCTACATTCCAGAATACACAGAACTTGGTTATTTCACAGTTGTTGTTTTGCAGGGGGCTGCTACAAAATGTACAAAGATTTAAAATGCATGTGCATAGCCATTGTTCTGCTCATTAAACCTTTTGTTTGGTGATGTGTCTGTTGCCATTGTGGTTTGCTTAAGCTCCCTATTGACTCCTTCCCTCTTAACAGGTGAAATTCATCAGCAGACAGAGAGTTATAGGCGTTTGCTGTGAGGGTGTTAACCTCGGTAGACTTGGGAAACTTTGTTGGCTAGTAGTAAGTACTATAGTAATCCTTCTGTTCTTATTGGTCATGGTTTGCTTGTATTTTATTTGGTGCACTGCACATGACGGCCTATAATCATGAGTGAAAGTAGCTGATGGCTCACGGGATAACATATGGGTTATTGACCAAGTGTCAAGATGGCTGGGTATTGGCCAAGTTCTTTTTTTGCGTGTTTATGGGCTGAGATGGAGTTGAGATCCATGACCAAATGTTCAAGCTTGATCGATACAGGCTTTATTATATGGAAAAACCAAACACTATCTTTTTTGGGACACAGCAGGTAGTCCTAAGCCAACAAGATAGCTTGCCTGCTTGGGTAGCCAACCACAGAACAGGATTCGGTTCATGTTGCTTGCACATGCAGCTAGCCATATAATAATAGACTGTAAGACATTGTAAAGGTAATGGAATATCAAATATGTTTTGCTAACAATTGATCTGTCTATAGATTTTTTCAATAAAATAGTTTTTTTTTCTGTCCAAGTTTAATCCATACTCTATCATCAGTGTTTTTTTAGGACCTACCAAATTTCTTGGGTATTATCTACCCCAACAGGCATACCATCTGGTACCCTTCTTCCATGGGTAGACCATACCAAAAGCTGAACACAAACATGATCTCACCCGAGCACTTGAGCAGAAAAAGTCCTGTGTCTCACAATTTTGATCTTGGCAATATATATATATTTTTCCATTTATTCCAATTTCTCTTTTCAGATTGGTTGTAGTAAGGTTATTTACTTGTTCGATGTTCTCACTCTTGGAGCTCCTTGTTTTGATGAAGGATTACAAGACATTCTTGAGAGTGGTGATATATTGAAGGTACTTGTATAACAAACTAGTAGGCTTAGCTTAGCTGGCAAACACAGCTGCACTTCTGCCTCATGAAAAAAGTGGCAGGATTCTGTCTGCAACTACAGATCAGGTTAAACTTGAATTTAACTCAATTCAGATGAATGGTGATTCCAAACAGTGCTTCAAAAGTCAAAACCCAGCCTGCTGAATCTTTTCATGTTACATTTTATCTTTTTGACAGATATTCCATGACTGCAGACAAGCCAGCGATGCCTTGTATCATCAGTATCACATCCGACTTATGAACGTGTTTGATACTCAGGTGTGTGTGTTGCTTTTGTTGTTGTTCATTTATTTATTGTATACTTAAAATGAAAATAAACAAAACTAGGGTACCATAAATTCCTTTCAACTTTCACATTTTTTCTTTCAACCTTTCCTGATCAACATAAGGCAACCACACCTCCTAATGTAAAATAATATCTGAAACGTTTCTTTTTCCTTATCATCCTGTCCCTTGGCAGTGCTGCAATAATAGATATTTATGGTAAAGAGAGTTGAGAGGTTGATGCCCTTGGCAATTACATGTTTGATTGAATTTCACAGGTAGCAGATGTTATTATTTACAAGAATGAAACTGGAGGAGAGTTGCCCAGGTTTGTGTAAGCTTTAATTACTTCTTTGTTGAAGAAATTGAGTGAGTCTTTTCTTGTGGTAGCTATTGTTTGTTTCTGCAATATTCAGGTTTCTTGCTTTGCACTCAGTCATAAAACACAAGGTCTATGAGCCCATCAAAAGATCACTTTGCTTCATTGGCATGAATTATATGACGTGATTGGATCAGATGCTAGTCTATAGGGGTTGTGTGTACTAAAGGCATCCGCAGTTGAATGTTGATAGATTTTCTCAATCGATGCCCTAGATCAACTCTCAATCAATATCCGATCGACACTCTATCGACACCTTGTTTTACACTTGATCAACACGCGATTGACATCTCGGTCAACAGTCGGTTGAGAGTCGACTAGTTTTTTATTGATGCATGTGTTGATCATATATCAATTGAGATGCCGAATAAGTGTCCATTGGGTGTCAACCGAGTATCTATTGGGATGTCGATTGAGATGACGATCCTGGGTTAAACGAGGGGTAGCAATCAGCACTCAACCACGGATGCCTTTACCACAAATGATTGATCTACTGCAGGGTCCCTGCCAACATTTGCCAGGTTTCACAACACAAAGACCCCCTTCCTCTTAATCTGTGTTCAGTGCACATTGATCATTTCATTAGGCCACCTCTCAAACATCAATCATTGAGCATGCATGTAAAATTGAAATTACAATGTTTTTTTTAGATCGTTTTTAACAGTTCTTTTTATACTTTCTCTAGATATGTCAATGGTTTAGTAGCTTGCTTGTATGAATACCTGAATTTGTCACCAGAGAATGTTAATTTCCAGAAAGTGCGTCAGAAATATATGCAGGTATTTTGGGCTTTGTTTAATATTAGAAGCTGAAGTAAACTGATGAAAAATTATATTATCATTGGGGAAGGGGATGAGAGATTTAGCACATGAAAGACCATTGCAGTTGATTCACATTATGTTATGTTTTACATGATGTTTGAAAGGTATGATTGTGACCAGGCAGTAAAGGGGGGGGGGG